TTTTCAATTGCTGCTAACCATTCATCAAGTGTGATTTCATTTTCAAGCTCTGCATACCACTCCTCTTTTACATCCTCTAGTGGTGTATAGAATTCTTCAAGCACTTCTCTGTCCTCAAACACTTCTCTCTCTTTGAACTGCTTTTGAAAGTGTGAATACTATTGTTTGATTCTTGTTTGCAAAGAAGTTTACATAGTAAAAGAGAGGTTTTTTAAAGATATCTCAGTCTCACCAGGCCGATTTTGATGCTCTAACCGCCATTAGATGCGTCTTGACAAGCTTTACAAAAGTCTCTTAAGCAAGAAAGATGATTAACTTAATATAAAAAAAAGTTTTAGATGCATATATGCCACATTTGCACCATAGTAAATTTATATACTGTAGTAATCTGAGTCACATTTTACTATGATCATGCTTCAGTTGACTGGGGGATCATCAATTAAGATAATTCCACTCGCTGAAGTTTTTTGCAGTAAAGATTTCCTCCAAAGAGAATGGGATGCTTGGTTTTCGTCTTATATTAATCAGTTTGTAAGCTTCTGTCCATATTTTCTTGCTGATTCTGCAATCTGTTGCAAAATGTTCAATTGTTTGTCGATCATTTTCACACCATGGGCAAGAGCCTGATTCCTGGGCAGAAATATGTTGAAGTCTGTAACCTAGTGGTAAAGCTCTAAGTGCAAGACGCCAAAAGATATCTCTTTTCTTGTTGTCAACTCCTTTAAGAAGTATCCAGTTCGGTGCTAAGTTTGAAAACAGTGACTGATTAATTTTGCCGGACGTTAGGTTCCTTCTAAGTATTTCAGTTATCTTTTTAACTGTAACTTCATCTCCTTTAATTCCCCCCTAGAGAGAGGTTTTCAAGACTCCAAGGTCAATTTGTATAGGAGAAAACTCTCCTATCTACTTTCTTCCATGCAAGAAGGTAGGGTTTCCATTCTGGGGGCCAGGCTTTACTGCTTGTCTGATTGAGATATTTCATTATCTATATAATATGTTTGCAATTCTTGTCTGTTCAACTTTTGCCCAGAATGTATTACCGGAAAGAAGTTTGAGCCAGACTATCAAAGCTCTTGCATCAAGCAGATTGCTTATAATAGGGGCTTGGAGCCCTCCTTGTTCATAAGACTGTTGGTAAGTGGAGTATTTAAGGAGCATTCTTGAATTGCCTTTTATCCAAAGTGTAATTAGACCATTTATTTCTGCAATCTGTTTTTTGTTTGGAGGTAGAATATAGGCTATATACCAAATTCGAGAAAGAACTAAAGAGTTTGCGACCAAAATTTTCTCTTTAAAGGATAGATTTCTAAGAGCAAGATTGTTCAGTGTGACTTTGAGTTTGTTAATTGTGTCTGTCCATAAATTCTTAAATTCTTTCTACATAGGCCATTTGGATAAACCTCATAGCCTAGAAGAGTTATAGAGTTATCTTCTTTTATAATCTCAAATTGGTCAATGTTCAGTAGATTCGCTCTTCTTGCCAGTGTGGTTAAAGGAACCACTTTATTGACTTTTGTGTTTGAGGCTTTTTCATATATGTCAAATAAATTCTGAACTTCTATCCAGTCTGAAAGAGAGCCGATTTCTATAGTTAGGTCATTAGCATAGGCTACTGTTTTAAAGAAGAGGTTATTCACTGAAATTCTCCGGATTCTATTGTTTATTGATTGAATTAGTGGCTCAAAAGCCAAGACATATAATAAAGGAGAGAGGGAGTCTCCTTGCTGAACACCTCTTTCAACTCTGAATGGTTCTGAGAGAGAGCTCTTCTCAAAAATATGCGCTATTTGGTTTGCGAAGAGATTATCTATTAGACTTGTGAATTTTATACAGAAGCCTATCTTTGAAAGAACCATTTGCAAGAATTTGTGATTAACTCGGTCAAAAGCTTTTTGTTGGTCTACTAGAAGTAGCTAGTGTTGCTTTGAGATGTCTGATTGGTTTCTCATAGTTGTAAGAACATCAAGTGTAGCATCTGAGATTGATCTTCTTGTGATGAAACCTTGTTGATGTGATGGAATTAATATGTTGCAGACTCTATTCAATCTAGATGCAATGAAGATTTTTGCATCACAGTTTACTAGAGAGATAGGTCTCTAATTGTTTATGTTGCTTAAGTCTGAGGATTTTTTCGGAATGAGAGTAATTAGATTTTTGTGCCAGGAATTTGGTAAGTTTTCAGAGTTCAGGACCTGATTCTAGAATTGGAGTTATATGTTTCTCTGTTAATTTGTAGAATTCATATGTTAACCCATCAATACCTGGGAATTTATTATTTGGGAGGTTTCTAATCATGGTTGTTATTTCTTCTTTTGAAATAGCTTATATAAGTTCAGAGTTTTCTTGATACAAGATCGTAGGAAGTGTATCAATAATCGAAGCAGCTGCTTCTAAGTCTATACTCTCATCTTTGTAGATTTCAGTATATTTTTCTTTTATGTATTGTAGTGTTTGATCTTTTTTATTTTGTATATTAGCTCCCGGGATCTCAATTTCTTTCAAAGCAGAGTTACTGCTTCGGGTTTTGAAACGCGAGAAGAAGTATCTGGTAGATCTTTCTCCTTGTTCGACCCAATTGGCTTTTGAGCAAGTCAGTCATCTCTCTGCTAGTTGGAAAAGCTTCTCTTGTATCTGTATGTTAAGATCGTTTATTCTTGATTGCATAGTTGTTTGTTCAGGGTTTGCGACTAAAGAGTCTTTAAGTTTGGTTATTTTTTTATTCAGGGTTATTATCTTACTTTTGGGAGCTTTGGGTTTTTTTGAAGGCTCTTATAATTGATTGCATGCAAACTTTGTGCCAGTCCCAGTCTGATGCCAAGTTGACAGATTTAATTTCTTCAATAATTTCTTTTTCCAATAATTTGTTTCTAAAAGAGTCTTTATCGAACCACCAACTGGATGCCTTTTTTGCTTCATTTTCTAGAATGAGGGTACATTTGACTAGCAGGTGGTTGAGTTTCTGTAAAGAGTTTCAGTTTTTTTGATTAAAAAATCATAGTTCTTATCTATAAAAATATAGTCTAGACATGTAGCCATCGACTGATTATTTCTTGTATTCTGGTAGAATGTAAGGAAAGATTTTTTCTCCAAAAGAGATGCAGAGTCCAGGAAGTTGTTTAATAGCCTTTTAAGTTTTAACCTTGATGGGTCATTTTGTGCATTGGCTTGACTTATTCTGTTTATGGTTGGGTCTAGATTTGTATTAAAATCTCCTTCAATAATGTTTATTTTGTCTTCATCAAAAGGAGGAATCCAATTTTCAAAAAAAAGCTGTTCTGTCTTTCATGTTCGGTAGAGCATAGACGTTTGTGATCTTGAAGAGATGCTTTTTATATAAGATGTCTGCTGTAATAACCCTTCCTTCATAAGAGGTTTGCGGGTTCTGAAGTTTTAGATCTTTTCTGCCAGCCAGTATTGCAGTTTTGTCAGTTCAGATTGATTCAAATGGCCATTGTAGTTTTAGTAGGTTGCGGGTATTTTGGTTACTAAGATTAATTACGATTATATCCAGTTTGTATGATTTAATTAATATTAATGTTTTTTGTTGTTTTTCACGGTTATTTAGCCCTTTTACGTTTAGTGTAGCTATAAAAATTTTTGGGCCTTCTGTTATAGGATAAGATAAGATTTGTTTATTGTAAAGTGGCTCTGCGCCCACCTTTGCCCTTTTGGTATGGAGTAGATCCTATGATATTCTGACTCGACCTGCTTTTAGTGATTTTTCTATTATTTTTCTTCTTATTAGACACTGTGATAAAGCCTTCATCATCTATATTAGGCGGAGTATTTTCTTTCTCATTGTATCAGACTTTTGTAAAGCAAAGGTTTGAGCTGGATTCTCCATTGTTAGCTCATCTCTTGGAGCTTTATTGAGCGAAAGTTGATTTTCTACCTCTTCTTGGATGTAGAGAGATTTTAGCTTGTCATCAGTTTTATCATTCTTCTTAGTTACCTCTTCTGTATATATCATTATTGTGTCAAGATTAGCTAGGTTTTCAGCATTCTCCTTGGGGTTTTCTTCCAAGTTTGGAACAGGAATGTTTTCTTTTGGAAGTTCCTCTTGTATTTCAGTTATTGTTGGTTCTTTCTGCAAAGGTAATACAGGGTCTTTTGTGGTGGGCTGCTTATTGATCTCTCCTCTCTTGTTTTTCTAACTTTTTCTCTAAATTTACGATAATGATTCTGAAGTTTGAGTGATTCTTGGAGTTGTTCATATTCCTTCTTAATATGACCCTCTTGATTACAAAAGAAGCAAATTTTTAGAGCTGATTTCTATTCTGTAGTGACCTTATTGTCACCGTTCTGAGTAAATTGTGGGATTTTACTCTCTAGGTTTGGGTTATCTGTGTTTTCAAAAATAACAATCCATTGGTCTGTTAAATAAGGAGTGCAAGAGGTTTAATAGAGGAGATATCGTCTATGTCTTCAAAAGCCTCTTGGATAAGGTCAGAGATTTGGTTTTTGTCACCAAGTGGCACATTTCTAATTTTGACCAGTAAGAAGGATTTGTGAGCATTTGTTGGGATGTGGTTCGTGAAGATAATTTTTAAGTGAGAGCAGGTGCCTTTTTTAAGATGTTGCTTAGCAGCAATGACTTTGTCTTTAATGTTTTCAAAAAGTGAGGACATTATTTCATTAAAAGAACAATGAATTCTTGAGATATCAATAATCAGAGCATTATCGTTCTTGGATTTAATTTGCTCTCTTGGAGAGAATGTTAAAAAGGTAGATTGGCCTCTTTTTAGCTTTGGGAAGAGATTAGGCCACTGTTTAAGTGGAGCTTTATTCCGAGTGGCTTCTTGTCTTAGTTCATTAGTTAAAACGTGTATGTATGGGTTCACAGGAAATTTGGGACTTTTAGGTAGTGTTTCCACGTGACTTTAATGATGCGGAACTTTCTGGAACCTTTTCAGACACGTGCATCATTTTGTTGTTTTGTTTACTCAGTTCCGTTTTTTGTAAAGACATGTTCGAATTTAGCCAAGGGTTTTCTTGAAATACAATATTATCCCAACTTTCCTTGCTAGTAGTTAACTCATGTTTCTTTGTATCTTCAGTGGGGTTTGTGAGCAAAATGCTTGAGTTTGGTTCAGGTTCTGTGAGTTGAAGACCAGAAAAGTCTTTAACTTTGACTTCTTTGTTAGAAGAATCCAAAATTTTGTATTTTTTATTTGGTTGTTCTTGAAGTAAAGCTTTTGTGGCCTTTCTTTTTGCTGGAGCAAGGGCTTTAGCCCTTGTTATTGTTGAACTGTTTGGGTTTTTACTCCTAGATATATTGGGTATTTTGTTCGTTTAATATTTTACTTTTCCTGCCTTATGTGTATAGGAAAGAGTTACCATAGATCTTTGTTGTGCTGAAATTTTTAAAAGGGATTGAATAAAAAAAAAAAAAAAAGAGAAATTAAAGTTTTGAAAAAAAATTTTTAGATATTAACTAATCTATTAAAAAGTATTTTACAATATAAGTACTAAATTTTTTATATTTACTAATAAAATAAAGTGCTGAATTTTTTAAAATATTAATAAATTAAAGAAATTTTAAATCAAAATAACTTTTTAATAAAAGAGATTTTTTAAAAAAAACTCTATACCAATATTCTTTGGGTTTTAAATAATATTATTATAGAAAGTTTTTTTTTTAATTGCTTATTTTTTAAACTTTTAATACAATCAATTATTTTGTGATGTGACTAGATGTCCTGCACCATATTAATATTTATAATAAAACTTAAAATAATGTTAATATAACGAATTTAATTTATGTACATTAATCAAGATAGTTTGCATATTTTATAATTAATTCACAATGATTCGAATTGATTTAAATTTTCAAAAAAATTTAGAATAATTCTAGTAATTTTGAAATGCAGTGAACTATTTTTTTTTTTAATCTTTATGGGTTTTGCTATGGCTTGCTTTTTATTAAAATGTATATAAGAACTATATATATTTAATTTATAGAACTCAAAGCCCAACTTTACTCGGTTACCTTATAGTCCTAAATGCAACTTATTGCACCAGTTTGCGGACAAACCAGAATTATCTTATTAAAAAATCTATAAAAAAAAGAAAATGACCTATAACTAAAAAGGAGATATGAAAGGAGGAATAGGGGAAATGAATGAAATAAAAAAACCCAAAAAAACAGAAAAAATAAAAAAGCATTTTATAGAAAAAAGATAACAATTCGAGAGGAATTTCACTTCTCTATATAACTAGAATGCACTATTATAACCTGTGCAAGACTAAAAAATTATATAACAAATGCAACAGTTGTATATCTCTATTGTAAAGCTTTGCCTTAACATATATTTTCCTTTCCAACTAACTGACCAATTCGAATATCTCATTAACTGGGTTCTGATCTGACTTCCATGAGGTAGCAATAAACATGTCACGTGGTTGCATTTTACTGAGTCCGTTCGAATTTGGAATATAAACAATGCTGATTTTTTGGAGGGGGTAAGCCAAATCCCCACTTTTTTCAAAAATTTTGGAAGACCGATAAAAAAAAATGAGAGAAAGTAAAAAAGATACCACTTAACCAAGTAAAGGAGTGTGGCTTCAAAAAAAATACAAGTTTTGTTGTTTCTTTTGTGTTCTTCTTCGAAGTAATAGCTAGATAGCTTCATCGACAGAGGTGGGGCTGACCCCAAATACCACCAAGATTTTTCATACAAGGGCACCACCTGCTAGTTATCTTGTATAATAACACTCTGGCTTGCATGCTAAATGTTAACTAATAGAGGAGTTCTGCTAGCAAATATGTTAACCTCTAGACAAACTGCTTTATAGCCATGTCTCTCCAACAAAAATTTTGTTTTTTATTTAGTCAGATTTTTGGTTTAAATAATCATCCAATGCAGTGAACTAATATTATATTGAATACATCTCATATATTTTAAATTATTAAATTTTTATGTAACGAACATAATAAATTTAATTTATTGATTAAATTTAGTCTTTCAATATAAATATATTAAAATAAATTCTCCGCTCTTATTATTAAAATTTTTTGCTTGAATTTTTTTTTACTTTCTTAAATTGTCAGAACTTGAAACTTTCAAAACTTTTTAAATTTAAAAATTTATCTTTTAAAAATGTCTGAATTTAAATGCTTATTTTGCTCGCATACCTTTGCAAACTGCAATAGATCAACTCAACATATGAATATGTGTGTTAATAGTGAAACCTATTGTTGTAAAAAAACTGCTCAAATTCGCAACATTTTGAAACTACCTAAGCTAAAATGAAAGCAATATAATGTTATTAATTAAACGAGATGTTACTGCTAATAAAATTTCATTTAAAGATATCAAGCTTCGCAACTTTTTGAAAGTTGTTAAAGATAATGAAAATAATTCTTCTATGGAATTAGATAATACTAATGCTGGTCCTTCAGGTGTAACTAATATGGATGATCTTTTCAATAGTTTAGCTGATATGTCATTTGAATTTGAAACAAATAACAATAATTCGAATAGTTTCGAATTAGATCCTGCTGATAATTTACTTGGACTTAAAAGCAGTTTGCAAAAATATCAGAAATTTTCTAATGGACTTTTAAATAATTCAGCTTTTACTGAAGAAATTCGAAACTCTTCAGATAATGATGAGTTGAATAAGAAACATGATAAATTTCCTAATAAAGCTTATGCCGATTTAATGCTTTTATTATTTCATTTTTTAATAAGCATTCAAATCTAGAAGTATCACCTTTACCCAGAAATATGAAACAAGGCAAGGATTTTATGAATAATATTAAATCTAACTCATCTTATAAAAAAACAAAAGTATTAAATCTTAATAATACTGAGTATTTTTTATATCACTTGATATGGCTCAAAATTTAGAATTTGAATATAAAGAATTATATAAAACTGCTAAGGTATATATTACTTTTAATTTTATTTGTAAATGCAATTATTATTGTTTTTTATTAATTTATTTTTATTTTTTTAAAGAATAGTAAAAAAGAAATTATCTATAAAGAGCAGAATAATGGAATATGGTGGAAAACCACACAAAATACTTTGCAGCCAGTGAAAATTTTATCAATCATTTTATATTCAGATACTACAAATTAAGTAAAACTCACATCCAATTTATATGTCATTAGGAAATATACTTACATGGCGAAGAAATAAGCAGGATGCTAAGCAATTATTAGGTTATTTGCCAATAATCAAAAAGACCGATAAAAATAAACTAATAAACAGACAAACTTTTCATAAATGTTTAGATATTATATTAGATCCTATTCAAAGGCTTAAAGATTCTGGTATAAATTTGCTAATCAATAACAGAATAGTCTGGTTTATTCCAAAAGTTTCAACAATAATTGCAGATTGGCCAGAAGCTGCAATATTTTGTCCGACTTATAAGTCAGCACAATCAAATCGTTCTTGCCACTTCTGTTTGATAAAAAGAGAAAAATTAGCAAAAACAGACTGTTTTAAACATGATTTGGAAAGGATCTGCACAACTCTTTCCTGTACACATTTGGCAGGAATAGAGTTACCAACAAAAAACAAAATAACCACTCCAAGCAATAAAGAAAACTTTTTCAAATCAAGTCCAGTAAGGGCCAAGGCCCTCATACCAAAGAAGAGAAGTTTCTCTCATTTTACACTTTCAAAGACAACTTGCAAAAAACTCAAAATGACAGAACTGGTTAAGAAAACTGTCCTTGGTGAGGCAAAAGTCAAGGATCAAAACATCAAAGCTAACCTTCCTCTGCCAGAGGAGGAAGCTTCAAGCATCAACAATATGCCTGAAATTTTGAAGAAACCTGATACCACTCTTCATACAAACAAGCAAGAAAGTTGGGCTAACCTGGTTGAACAGGAGAACCCTTGGGACCTTTCAATCACGTCTCTAAAAGTAAACAAAGAAAATAAACAAAACATCAAAACAAAACACGTGTTGGTAAAGGACCCAATTGTAGCAGGTCCCTTATGTGACTACCACGCAAACACAGGGCTCCAACTATCAGAAAATAACCCATATAGACAATTGGAAAATTTTATTTCTACCTGAACTCTAAATGATGAGAAACCTCAACCTTCTGCCCCAAACCTCTTCCCTAAACTTACTAGAGGACAGGCCACATACTCAACTTTCTCTCCAAGAGAACAAATTAAGTCTAAGAATGATAACACACTTATTATTGACATATCTCAATTACTAAACTCATTCAACGAAATTATCTCTTCTTTCCATGAGAGTGCAGGCAGGAAAGGATATTGTAGCAATCAAACAACACCTTAAAAAAGGAGCACGTTCACAATTGGAGATTGTATTTGCAAGCTTTGACTTACTCAAGGAATATACAACAAAGGGGGTCTGAATTTTTAACAAAACTTACATGGGTTACATCCGTAAATCATTCCTATCAGTCAAAATTAGAAATGTTCTATTAGGCAACAGAAACCAAGTTTCAACACTTATCAAAAAAGCCTTTGAGGACATTTGAAAAATTAATTCCATTAAACCTCTCCTGATTGAAGGAACCCCTTATTTAACAGATCAGTGGATCATTGTTTTCGAAACTACAGAAGATCCAGATTTAGAAAAGAACCTTCCTCATTTTACCCATGTTGGGGACAATAAGATTACAACAGAATGGAGGGCAGCTCCCAGTATTTGTTTTTTCTGTGATCAGGAAGGTCATATTAAGAAAGGATGCAAGCAGCTTCAAGAATCTCTCACTCTCCGGAAACAGTACCGAAAATATAAAGAACAAGCCAGAGTTATAAACAACCTTCAAAGTGACAACATTGGTTCTCTTAATATGGAATCCTCAATAATAAACCCAAATAAGAACAAGGCAGTAAGAAAGAAATCATCTTCAGAACTGATCGAAAATAACTCTGATATGAAAGAGAATAAGATCACTATTACCTTGCTCGAAAATGCAATCAAAGATATGGTAGAAGCAACAATCGCATCCTCATTGCCAGAGGAAAAGAATAATACTAAAGAGAAGGAAACATTGACAGACAAGGAGTCCGACTCTTCTGATTTTGTTTATATACAATCACCAGTTCCGAATGCCTTGGAACCTCATAATTAAAATGCTCCAAGAGATGAACTTACATTAAATAATCCCATTCAAGCCTTTAAAGATCAAGCAAAAGTCAATAAATCTTACAATACCTGATTAGAAGGGGTTGATGAAGATGGTTTTACACCAGTGATGAATAAGAAAAAACAAAAAAAGAGCAATAATAACAAAACTAGACAGAGTAATCTTAAGACTTCTCCTTACAAAAGACCAAAGGGAGGACATACCTCCCTACTTAACTAAAATATCACTATTTCTTCATGACAGTAAACAAAAAAGTTTACATAGCAACCCTTAATGTAAAGGGGCTTAACAATCAAGAAAAACAATGAAAAACTTTACTTAAATCTTATAAACTAGACATAATCCTCTTACAAGAAACAAATTTGGAGAACCAAAGTACAAAAGACTTTCTTAAAAAACAATGACCTTTTGATTTGGTTTGGGCCAACAAAACTGCTATATTAGCAAGCAAAAAAGAAATTAAGTTACAGGATCCTCAGATATTCCATGGGGGAAGGATCATTTCTACAAGAATCGCTTACAAGGACCACATGTTCCACGTCACTAATGTATATGCCCCTCCAAACAACAAAGACAGAAGTGAATTCTTTGAGAGATGGAGTCTATCCTGGGATGAAGAATTGATAAATATACTTGGTGGAAACTTTAATGTTAATATAGATCCCGAGACAAACCATGTCAGTCAAGCATGCTTACAACTCAAAAATCTTACAAAAAAAAAACTCTTTCCGGTTTACACCCGGAATTTATTAAAAAAAAAAAACAAAATTTTAACAAAAAACAACCAGGCTCTTTACAAAAACTCCAAAGTCGATAGGGCCAAAGCCC